AAACTCTCAGCCCAGAACCAGGGACTGCAACAGGTGCTCAATGAAGTGGACATTGGCAAGGATCCCAGGCTCCCTGTTCAGACGGCTGGAACTGAATCTCAGCTCTACCAGATGTTTGCTGCCCAGGGACACTCTGGCCCTTACACATCTACCTCTCCATATGGCAGCGATAACAAGAAGGCTTACCTCAGAGAGCTGTCCTTAGGACTAAATGAGTTCACATATAAAAGTGCCCAACATACGTAACTGGTCAACAGATATTTGCTCTATTATTTAGCTAGTGTTTATCCTTTAATAAAAGAACTACTTAATATTTAATATTAAAAATGAAACAAGAACATGGGGCTGAAACTTTTTGTCCTAATGGCATTAATACAGGAATTGATAGCATCTAGCTCTCTAACCCCAGACTGCATAGAAACTCATAAATGAAGCCTGTCCAAATCAGAAGTTTTACATAATTCCAAATTCCACCAGCAGGCCAGCAGGACACGTCCTATGATTTTTGGGGGCTGACAGAGCAAGTTAGGAAGGCCTTTTCCTTTCCTGGGCTCAAAGGCAATGATCCACCCTGATTTTTAATGATTCAGATGCTACAGCAGTGGTTCTTAAGGGAAGGTAATACAGACCCTTGGAAAGCATTTGTTAAGATCTGGAGCCTCTGCTGGCAGCTAGCAGCTCAGGAATGCTGCCGAACACACGACAATGCGGCAGGAAAACACCCATAAAATATTTCTGGTAGAAGGGTCAATAGTAGAAGGACTGAGAAATCCTGCCCTACAGGAAAGGCGCTTGTAACAAATACACAATGGTGTCCACAATATAATAGCACAGTGTCAGCCAGACACAAAGGACATAGGCATGTAAGCAAGAACTGCCCAGGAAATAACATGAAAATGAATGGAGTTGATGGGGTATCTGGATCACCAGTGGAATTTTTTAAAGTTCCAGGACTATTATTAGTATGTTATGAGGCTGAGAAGAGTGGGAGCCAGAGCTCATGGGATATGAATGCCCCCACTACACCTCTCAGTCTGAGATTCCTCAGACATTCATGACTGCTGCTGGCGTCTTAACAATGCTCCTGGCTCCCACTACAGTAAACTCTTGCTCTCATCTCAGACTGAAAGTGAGTAAGGGAAGGGAAGGAAGCGTCCAGTCTTTCCTGCAAAATCAAGCTGGGCCCAACAACTTGAAAAGGCTCTTCCAGTTTCCCTCTGTGCTGTCCTACATAGCTCTAAATTATTCATTCTTTCTCTCTGTATATTTTTACTTTTTTTGAGACAGGATCTTTTTATGTAGCCCTGTTTGCCCTAGAACTTGTCATGCAGAGAAAGCTGGCCTCAAACTCAAGAGTGTGCCTGCTTCTGCTTCTGCCTCCCTAGTGCTGAGATTAAAGGCATGCACCACCATGCCCAACTAATTGTTCATTTTAAAATTACTTTCAAATAGTTGCCAGGGAATCCAATGGTCAGTCAAATTGGACAAGATCAACCATGGTACTTTTAGGTCATAGAAAAGAATTCTTTATTTAAAGGCAAGGTTGTAAAACTCTGGATGAAGACAGCAGAGTGAAGGACAGAAATCTAACTCCATCTGGGAGGTGGGTATAGTCATGTTAAGTCCCAACACCACAGACCATGGGAAAACACAAAGCCTTGCCCATCCCTAGGCTCAGAATGGCAAAAGTTTCTTTGGTCCAAGTGTGAATGTTTGGGAAAATTGACCAGTGTGTGCAAAAACTACCAGCTATCGTTTCGTCCTCCCAGATGTTTACAAAGACTAGCTAACCCCTCTCACTGTGTTGAATATACCAACCACATTGAGGTTCCAGGTTGTGTGGGAGTTGGAGCCATTATATCAGAGTGCACACAGTCTTGTTGTAATTCAAGAAAAGCAGTGCGTGAGAGAAAAGACACAGGGTTCAAGCAGGGGGGATATTTTGGGAAAGGGATCATAAAATGGGGAAAAGGGAGTGGGGAGACTGGCCTCCAGGGACAGGAGCAGAAGGAGAAAGGAAAGAGGGATGGGGGTGGGGAGGAGAGGGAGAAAGAGGAACAGATAGACAGAGGGAGAGAAAGAAAGAGAGAGGAGGATGGGAGGTGGGCAAGACCCTTTTAAAGGGAACATAGTGAATATGCACAGCTGAGGGTGTATCCTGTCAGAACTCCAAGGACAGGCCAGTACAGATAGATGGACACTAACACATCTGACTCCAACATTTCTGTATGTATTTCTGTCCTTTCTTCATTTCCTGAATGCCCCAGTTAGGATATTAATGCAAGAAGTCACAGGGACTACCTCTATCCAGCCAGTCACAGAGGGGTGAAGCAACACAGAGGAAATGGCATTTGTAAAAGCTCAGT